ATTTCTTCAAGGAATCTGTCCTTGATTTTAATCTCATAGAGACTGTATGTGTGTGCCCTTGTGTGTACATTGATGTGTGTGGGTATGTGTGGTACGTGTGCATTTGTGTGTGGTATGTGTATGCACTCAGGTAGGTGTTGATGTATATGCGCATATGAGTATAGTCTAGAGGTCAACCGCAAGTGTCATTCCTCAGACTCTGTTGTAGTTGGAGGCCACATTTTCGTTTCCTGACCGCCTAGACTCCTGAAATAATCACACAGAAACTATATTATTTGCAATACTGTTTGGCCAATAGCTTAAGCATATTGTTAGAATAACCCATTTCCATTATTTTGTATTTTATTATGAGGCTCATGGCCTACCGACAAGGTTCTAGCTGGCAGCTCACGTCTTTCCCCTCTGGTGGCTCCATGGCATCTCCCTGACTCAGCCTACTCTCTGTATCTGTCTCTTTTCAGCCTGGCTATATTCTGTTAAGCCATTGGCCAAAAGCTGCCTTTTTATTCATTAACCAATAAAAGCAACATATATACAGAAGGACTTCCCACACTACTCTGTTCACCTTGATTTTTTAGATAGGGTTTCTTAGAGGCTTTGGGCTCATCTGAGTAGGTTAGTCAGGCTGGCTGGCCAGCAACACCCAGGGGTTGACTTTATACTTTCATTGTTCTTGGAATTGAACTCAGGCCTTCTTTTTTTCATAGCAAGAATGTCACAGGCCAAATATCTCTGCAACTCGACTCCAGGTACTCTGGAGAGTAAGTGCATCATCAACCACTGGGCATCAGTGTAGTTCATTGACATTGTTAGTTTCCTTGTTCTGTTTTGTGTTCTTTGCTGTCTTTGAGTATGCCAGTCTCTGTAGTATCTAGCCAGCTCTTCATCCTGTCAAGTATGGTTTTCCAGTTTACATTGTGATTTTCTTTCATAGGTCAATTTCAGACTTTTAAACTCTAAAATCTTTTAAAATTGTAGTAGGTTCAATGTTTCCTCTAACTTCTAAACTATAGGAAGGGTTGCAGCCACTGTAATAGTCACTTCTGGGTTTTCTGCTCAGTTCTCTGCTGAACTTCACTCCAAGCAGCTCTCTGCTCACTCAGCCATCCGCATGCTGACTTTGGAGTCCTTCCTCCTTAGGGAGGATAATGGCCTTGTTTACCCTTGGAGGACCTATTGATGACCAGGGTCTCGAAACCATTATTTGGATATTACATCCACTTTTTAAGTTTATTCAGTTATGTGAGAAGATATTGTCCCCTCTATTCCCTTTTGGCTAGTACCTGGAGCCTACAGTTATATTTCTTATGGATATAATTTAACAAAAGCATACTTTCACAATAAGACTGCCCAGTCTGACTTCCTTAGTATCTGGTATATGCAATCCCTCGAAATAACAAAATAACAAACAAACAGTATTTATTAAAAGTGGGAGCTGGCCAGAAAGCTCAATGGGTAGAGGCACTTGCTGTGAAATATGACAACCTGAGTTCAGTCCCTGGAACACATACGTGGTGGAAGAAGAGATCCGACTTTCACAAGATATCCTCTGACTCCCACACACTTGCTGTGGCACATACATACAAATTTGCATACACATAAGATAAATACATGTTTAAAGATTTTAATTAAATAAAAATTTAAAGATGTTAGAAATTAGTCTTTGATTTTTAATTTTCATCTTTCATTCTACCCACAGAGCAGAAGCTTAATTTCATAGTGACTCTTTTCCCCTAATAAACAGAACAATCGATTCAGTGTGCCTGCTTATACCAATCCTGAAAGCCTGGATGTTTAGAATGATTACAGATTTTATTGCATTACTGTCTCCAAGTCATGCTTATTTTATAGACTCTCTTAGCTAAATTTTTTCCATAAATCTAATTAGGGGAAGCATATGGAAACATAGTGAGGATGGTGTTGAAATTAATCATTATATGAGTTTAGAGATTAATTTTAAGGCAAATTAGCTAATAAATTTAATAAGAACTCATGTTATTTTGGCACCTTTACATTAAAATCATGGATATTTAGGTCAGAAGTTTGTGTACTAGGCCAGCTTGTGTAATTTACTGATAACATCACTTCCAGGCCCTTTGTGTCCCACACTTTACAAATGCTCTGAATGGCCTCGTGCAGTTTCTAACATGAACATGCTTGCTCAGAGGAGAAGTTGACTCAGGTGGGCGAAACAACATGTGTTATATTGACTTATGATGTGGGTGGGGCAACCTGCTCCTTCTTAAAGTCATTGTATTTTGTGCACCAGTTCTTTTAAAACTGTGAATAGAAAAAAGGTTGTTTTTGAAGGAATTACTCATGAAACATTCTTGGTTGAGTCCTTGTGGGGGAGGCAATGCATTGCTTGTCATAAAGTGTTGTAGTACCCAGGTCACATGACCTTGTGCCTCATTGCTGCCCAATGAAACTTCTTTCATGTACGTGCGTGAGTGCATGCGTGTGTGTGTGTGTGTGTGTGTGTGTGTGTGTGTAGCATGATTAATAAAATCTCATAGACAGTTATTGGGGTCCAACCTGAAGGTCATAAGAGCAAAACAACCAGTCACTGGCTCTTAACTTCGACTGCAGTCCAAAATGGTGATCCTGTCTCCAGGAATCTTCATTCTGAATATTTTGGTTGAATAGTTTTTTTTTTTTTTCTAAAGTGCATCTGGACCAATAGTGTCTTCAGACCCAACACTGTGAACTAGCATTTTTGTTCCTCTTGGGTGTCTTTGTATGTCTGCTGAAATACCATGAGCTCAAGATTGTTCTTCACCTAGATATCCTGTTAGGTCTGGACCCTAACTTTCTATTTTCCAAGTGGGATTCATTTCTAGGGTCTGTGTCCACTCTTCTCACTGTTCTAGTACTTTTGTGCTTGATGTGACGAATTTGACCTCCCAGCTCTGCTCCTCATGGACAGTGCAAAGCTATCTACAGCCTTGTTAACAGCAGAGGTCCAAAGTGCTGTCTGCATACCCACACAGGTTCACTAACAAGAAAATATTAGACCTTGTATTTGTATCACTGTTATAACTGTCAAGTGATTTGTCTATATGGAGTGTCAGTGGTACATATAGTAATGGATAATCAAGTGCACACATTAAACATAAGATACATGTGTTAAATCTACACTAGTCCTTCCTTTTTGCTCTTACCCATAGTAGTAGACATCTTCTAGGGCCTACTCAGCTCATCCTTTGGGAACCATCTAGGTGTAGAAGTTTGAGTGTGCTTTTCTTACGGGGTGACTATGGCTTTTACCAGACACTTAAGGAGATCTTTACTCTTGGGATCAATCCAGTTGCCAGTCTTGGGTTCACTGAAGCCTTAAGGCTTGCGTTGGTAGGACCATAACTGTTTACATAACTCGGTTTGAAAAGTAAGGTATCTGATTAGGCATCCATTCCTTTAAACAAAGTCCTTTCTTTTAGGCTTAGTACTGAGAGACTGAAGTCAAAGTTGTCATCATCTTAAAGCAATACAGGACAGGCACTGAAGGTTTTTCTAGTATCTGGTTTTAAAATTTCTTTTTGTAAGGTATTATCTAATGTCTTCATTAATCTTCATCTATTTTTAAAATACTTCGGCAATGTCTTTCAAACTTGCATACATTGGTTCCAGGTGGGAGTGACTTTGGAGCTATTTTTGAAACGCCCTATTCTTACTGTACTGTTTGCATAGGGAGATTTTCTGCTGCCCATAAGCTTCTGTAAGAGGCTTGTAGTAGTGTTTGATGGAAGTGTGTTGGATCAGGGCAGAAAGCCAAATTCAAAAGTCAGTTGATGATGTGAGATTGAGTCAAAGGTATTTTTGAAATCACCCATAAAATTCTTAAATGGCCTGTAGCATACGCAGTACATAACTGTGTTTATATAGTCCTAAAGGAAGTATCTATTTCTTCTTGTAACTCTTGTTGTAGGTCCACATAGCCCCATGTAGTTCCTCAGTGTCTTCCTCAAGCCTGCCGTGGCCTTTCTTACTCCACTTATCCACCTGACTGGTAGGATTTATTTGCCAGAAAGTCCTGCCACTCATGCCCTCTTTATGATAAGTTTTGGATCCAAGTCACATACTGATTTAAATATTCTTTCAGTTAAAAAGGTTTTAAATGTGCCTTTGATTGAATTAAGTAAGTTAAATCCATGTGTGATACAATCTTCACACATTCCTGACTTTCCTCTCTTACTTTGTAAATGGTAGCATTAAATTCTGCCAGTGGTGTGTTGTAAGGAAATGGTCCTATTTATTCACTTATGTGATGAACACTAGGAATGTGTAAGGTGCAGCAGAAAAAAATAATGACATCTTGAAATGTGCAGGCAAATGGATGGATCTAGAAAACATCATATTGAAAGACAATTATCATATGTACTCACTCATAGATGGTTTTTAAATATAAAGCAAAGAAAAGCAGCCCACAAATCACAATCCCAGAGAACATAGATAACAAAGAGGCCTCTAAGAGAGCCGTTCATGGATCTAATCTACATGTAGAAAAAGACAAGATATCCTGAGTAAATTGGGAGCATGGGGACCATGGGAGAGGGTTGAAGGGGAGGGGAGAGGCAGGAAGGGGAGCAGAGAAAAATTTATAGCTCAATGTGTAAGGTGTTGCCAGTGGAATTTGGGTTGCAGGAGTGTAGTAGATGTCATTCTTATGTAAGCAGTGGGGGAGAACGAACTCTAGTGGATGGCACCTGAGCTTTCTCTTTAATTCAGGCATGGACTCTAAATACGTGATAGACACTCATGCCACTCTTCTGTGTATCACATGCAATGACAGGTACAGACATGAAGGTTGGGGCTGACTTGGGTTGACCTGCTAGGAAACAGTCACATGATTCATGGCAAAGCCTTCCCAGGGCATCTGAGAAAGCATTCTACAAATATCTGAGAAAGTTTGTGGAATCTGACCTGATTTCAACTGTCTTTTGTTACAGATATGAATGCACCTCACTTTATTAAGGACTTTTATTTATTTATTCTTTTAACAGGAATCACTAGATTCGATCTACTTGGAGACTTTGGAAGATTTAATTGGCTGGGAAATTTCTATATTGTATTATCCTACAATTTACTCTTTGCTATTGTGACAACATTGTGTTTGGTCAGAAAATTCACGTCAGCTGTACGAGAAGAACTTTTCAAGGCCCTAGGTAATCTTGAGGTTTATGGACATTTCTTTCTACTAATTATGACTCTGACATTTGAGTTTCTATTTAGCTTCTAAGTGTTCATGGCTGTCATTTGCATTCTTGGCACATGTGTTGGTTGTGATTGGATTGGAATCATGTACTGTACTGTAGGCCCTCATCTGTAAGGTGTGTGGGTAGGAATTGTGGTGGTTCTTGTGGGGTCTTAGTACAGTGTCTACGACACCCTAAGAACTTGGGACTGACAGTCAGACCCTTTGTTCTTATCATGCTAACGATGAGAGCAACTTGGTATTGAAGGTTTGCTTTCTGCTAATGATGCCTTTTACTATTGTTTGCTTGAAGCTTTTTTTTTTTTTTGAGGGGAGGCTTGAATTTTCCAAGTGTATAAATAACCTATAATTCATTTCAATAAGCCAAATAACTCTGGAAAACAATGTTAGCATTCTTGGTACTGACAGGACAGGAGGTTTACTGTCATGTGTATTGTGGTGGTATCAAAGTCTGCTTTAAGTGATGTATGTTTGCTGTGTTTACTCCTACACTCATGTTGAACTTAGTCTAGAGTTTGTGCTTCAGGATGAGAAGCACTCTGAAAGCTTCTCAGGCTTGTAGCATCTGCCTCCATAGCGGAAAAGAAAGGTGGTGGTTTCCTGTAGGAAACCCTGGCATTAACTCATTTGCCTGATACCACTTGAATGCTTATGCTTCAAATAGGCTGTGCTTTTTGGTATTTTAAGAAGTAGCATATTTATAGATTTGTTAAGGTCCAATTTCAGAAAGCTAAACTACAGGAGCAGCAATAAAGCTTTTCAGAGTGCCAACCTTTATGACCTTGATGTTTGAAAGGATGACCTTTAAAGAAAAATCTGCCAGGTCACTGCTCCATGTATATTTTATTTGTGGTATACACTGTGAGGGGACGGCTGACTGAAACATCTCATCTCAGCTCAAACACCAGATAATTTATGAATTTTAGTGCCTGTATTTCACAGTAGTGGGCACATTAAAAGTAGCCAGATGCCTAGGAATCAAGAAACCCTCAGTCACATGTCTAGTTGAAACTTCCTTTCTAGCTAGGACCTCAGATGGGTTCCCACTTGGCTATAGCTGAGATGGCTACAGTGCTTCAGTGTTGTCGTGTCAATGTGGAGCTTCTGCCAGAGGCCAGAGGCCAGAGGCCCTCTTTGTCATTTTAGCAATCTGACCAAAAGACACAGTGGAGTTTTCAAGAGTTGTGTAAAACCCCCAATAGCTATGTTTGTTTTCTTTCCCAAATGTTTTCTGTTATCCTTTTGTATATTCTTTAGGGGGCCATTCTTTGTATAGAAAAGATCCTCTTTAATATAGGCTCAAATGGCCAAAGATGTTAAGTCTGACTTTATTAGCTCATTCCTAACAGGTATTTTCAAAGAATATCTGCACAGTAGTCATCATGGTGGTGGTGACCAAGGGACTATTTCTAGGGAGGTCTACAGATGAAAAGATTACAGTTTTATCAGAATGCATGTCATGAATCACACCCGAATTTAAAAAGTGAAACCTAGCCCAGAGGTGCAAACCTTTAATCCCAACGTCTGGGAGGCAGACACAAGTGAATATCTGTGAGTTTGAAGCTAGCCTGGTCTACATAGTGAGTTTCAGGACAGCCAGGACTACACAGAGGAACCCTGTTTCAAAAAACCAAAAAATAAAAAATAAAAAGGAAGTGAACCTACTTAAGTCTTCTGTCTTAAAAGAGTAGTTTCAGGGTCAGGAATGTGGCTCAGTGGTAGAATGCTTGCCTACCATGTGTAAGGTCCTGGGTTTGGTCTTTAGCATTGTACATGTTCCCCATACAGGGACAGTATGGTTCCAGGGCAGTGTGGCAAGTATGCCCTTTGTGCCCTGTTCCTTTCCTTACTTTTTTTCCTGGCAAGTTTTCTTCAGTGCATGTCTTGTGTTGTAGGAGCTCACTTGCTTGTTTCTCAGCTGGCCAAACTCCCAAAATAATCACACAGAAACTATATTAATTAAATCACTGCTTGGCCAATTACTTAAGCGTATTGCTAGCTAGCTCTTACATCTAAAATTAACCCATTTCCATTATTTTATATTTTACCATGAGGTTTGTTGCCTACTGGCAAGGTTCCAGCTCATGTCTTTCTCCTCTGGTGGCTACATGGCATCTCACTGACTCTGCCTTCTTCTTCTTTCAGTTTAGTTTTCCCACCTAGTTCTATTTCTGCTAAGAAACTGGCCAGAACAGATTTATTCATTAATGAATAAAAGCAACACATAAACAGAAAGACTTCCCATACCAGTCTTGTCTTAATTTTCAGAGATTCTCTGATTACTTAGTGGTTTGGCCATTTCTGGGATTAAACTATTTATTTTACAATGATTATTTTTGTCTAATTCAGTTATAGGCTCAAGCTTAAATTTTCTTTCATTAAGTTATGTAAGTAATAAAGACTTTAAATTTGGGAGGAGGACTGTATTAGGAGTTATATAAAGCTTTCTAATGAGACAATTACCATCTGGAAATTTAGAATGAATACTCATCCTACACCCTAACTTAGTTTTGGGGGCATTCCAAAAATCTGAGCAGTATGGGCACTCTTCCACGGTCTTTCCTGTAGATGCACTACTTGTAGACGCTTACATGTCATAGGTTTCACTTTGAGTATTCTTGCCATACTTTGCGTATTTGTGTTTTAAAACAAAAAAGTCATGTATCTGTATCAGCTTAGCTTCCTAGGCAGTGTGTTTTGAGATGAGAACAAGCTTGCTTACTGGGACGAGGCTTTTGAGGGGAGGAAGAGGAAGAGACAGTGTAAAGATGAAGTGTGCTTTAATGCCTTTGACTCTACAGGGTATTATGCTTTGGAGGCCCCATTAGAGCCACACTGAGGATCTGGGGAGATGGCTCAGTCTGTATGTAACCTACCTGTTACACAAGCATGAGGGCCTCAGTTTGATCCCCAGAACCCATGTGAAAAAGCTAGACATAATCCCAACACTGGGAATGTGGAGACAGGTGGCTCCCTGGGCTTGGTAGCTAGCCAGTCCCATCTACTTGGTGAGTTCCAGGTTTAATGGGAGACCCTGTTTCTTAAAACAAAGTGGGTGGCACTTCATGTGACACCCAAAATTGTTCTCTGGCTTCTACCTGTAGATATACACAAATGAACACACACACTCAAAAAAAAAATAGTAGGACCCCACTGTGTTGAAAAGAGCCATACCCACTTGTCACCCAGTCATTGGAGGGGGCAGTCCTAGAAAAGAGGCATGACTTCCCCAGAGCTGCCTCCAGGGAGAAGGCTTTCATTACCAGAAAGCTGTAGATAACATATCACAACCTATACGAGAAAGCTGTCCTGCTAAGCAGGTCTTTTCTGGTCATCCAGTCCCTTAGCTGCTCCTTTCTCATCCATATTCTGTTTTTCTGCAGGACTTCACAAGCTTCACTTGTCAGATACCTCAAGAGATTCAGAAACTGCAAAGCCTTCTGCAAATGGTCATCAGAAAGCATTGTGAGACCTGACTGCCTAGCAGCATTCTTCAGCAAGTTCCGACGATTCCTGACATTCCCACAGACACTCATCAGCTTGTGGGCTGCCTATCAGTGCCACCTTCTCACCAGCACTGAGAACTTGACATTGCTGATCAGTTTCTCCTTTGACTTTTCTGATTGACCTTAGAGCTTTTGGCTAAATCCTGAGTCTTGGAGATTGGGGAAAAGTTGTATGTCTACAGCAGGGAGCCATCTGGATGAGCAGTAAAGATGTGCAAAGAAGCTGACTTGGACTTTCTTATGCTTTGCTTTATGCTGTGAGACGTTTGGGTCTGCAGGCAGAAGCCCACTGGAAGTTGTCTGGTACCCCAAAACATTTTCAGAAAGTCCTAAAAACTTCTGTATTAGTAGTAAACTTCATTTTTTATTTCCTTAAAAAACCAAAAGCAGAGTTTCTGATTCATGTTACAGAATCTTCATTAGACTTTGGGCCAGTGGAAAAATACTGGGTTCTTTCCAAACTTGAGCCTTGGTGGGAAGCCCCAAGGCTATCTTGTTGTGGAAAGCAGCAGTAAGAAGCATACGTGATTGTAGATTTGGACATTTGTGTGTATACACCTGATAATACTTCTCACAGCACAGTGCCAGTGTTGTACACACTTGTAACTTAGACTTTGCCTTATAGGCCATATGTATATTCACTTTTTAAAACCTTTTTAAAAAACTATTTCACTTCTGTGCTTGTTGTGCCTGTGAAACCCATAGACAGAAATTGCTTCCTTTTTATGTCTCAGGCTTTGGTGACCTTCATATACACCACCTTAAGTCTTCACCTCAGGACAGTTACCAGGGTGATACCCAGAACTTAAGGGTCATAGAAGAGCAGGCACAGTGTAATATGAGCTCATAATTATTCAGTCGTTTAGTTGTACATGATTGTTGGGATGGTTTCTTAATTCTTGAGTCTACTGATTAAAAGCCAAGAGTGCATGCTGTGCTGTGCTGTCCCTAGGTAGCACACAGTTCATGGAAATAATGGTGCTTACATGCACGTTGTGGATGACAAAACAGGATTTGTATTCAGAAAAAAGTAAAACACTTTTTTTCTCAAATTGTTGAATTTAGTTTCTTTTGGAGAAATTTACGAAAAACAGGATGTATCTGACATAATTTTTTATTACATAGAAAAACAAGAAAATTGAGCTGTACTTTTACAGCCATTGAGTATACTTCTTCCCTTACATCATTGACATTCTCTGATTCCTCAGTCTGAAGGAGAAGGAGCATTGGGGCTGTGGCTCTGAGTGACTCAGTGCGTGCCTTCAGCGGGTACTGGTAGATTCCTGAGTGCGAGGTCTTGCACTAGCACAATGCAAGTCAGCTGCCTTCAATTTTCCGTGATCATTATGTTAGTTAATGCCAGGCTCTGCTTTTTATTGAAACTTGAAATCCATCCTTTGGGAAGATCAAGTGAAGGAGAGATCAGAGAGTAGTATTCCACTGCAGTCATTTTCAGTGCACACCATTTGCCGATTCATCCAAACACAGAGCTCCTGGCTAATCTGTAAGGTAAGGTGTCTGGAAATTTTATAAAATATTAAACTTTTCAGTATGTCTCAACTTTAATTTTCTTAATGTTCCTTTGTGTGTATGTCTCTCTGTGTGTATCGGTGCGTCTGTGTCTGTGTCCATTCAGGAGTAAAGATCTGAGGACAGCTTTCAGGAGTGTTTTCTTTCCTTTCACCATGTGTATACCCATGATTGAATTCAGGTACCTTTACCTGATGAGCCATTTCATCAACATTTTGTTCATTTGGACATTCTTAATCTGAAGATGAGCCAGGCTTGGGTGACCACGCTTAGTCAGATATACAATGAATTTTAAATACTAACTGGAGACATTTGCTGATGAGATGAGAAATGGGCTTCAAGGGTTGTCTCATCTTGAATCTCAGGCCCTCCGTGGTTGATCTGCTCTGTGGTCACCACCCTTTGAAGGTCAGTGGTCACTCATTCATCTAGTGTAAGGGACTGAGTCCAGGTGCAGTCACTGCATTGGGCATGTGCTGGAGGCTGACCGGTATAGAATTTCACACATGGACAGCAGCACACAGAAGCTTCCCGTTCTAGGTTCATGAAGGCAGGCACACTTAGGAGTCTTGTGTTGCAGTTGAGTGTGGCAGCGAATGCATAAAGCTCTGCAAACAAGTGCTCCCATCCACACTGGTCATGGTGCTTTCTGGGTTTTGACCGGATGGGGCTGCACCAGTGACTCTGTTATATAGTCCTTTTATTCTCTCACTTTGATTTTCCTCTTTAAAGGGCATGAAGCTGGACATGGCGTTGCATGCCTTCATCCTAACACTCAGGAGGCAGAAGCAGGAGGAGCCCTATGAATTTGGAGTTAGCCTAATTTACTTAGTGAATTCCAGGCAAGCCAGGGCTACCTAGTGAGATGTTATCTCAAAAACAAAAACAAAAGAACAATAACAAAAAGAGCACAAGGGTTGAGGGTAGAGTGACTGGAGAGATGGCTCAGCCGTGAAGAGAACTGGCTGTTCTTTCAGAGGACTCAGATTTGGTTCCCATAACCTACATGGTGACTCACAGTCATCAGTGACTCTAGTCCCAGGGGGGATCCAACACCCTTTTCAGGTCTCCATGGGTACTGCAGGCATGTGGTGCAGGAAAAACACACCTATACATAAAAATAATACAATTTAAACAGGAGAGCATGAGGCACTGTATAGATCTTGTTGGTGGGATATAGTAGATTCTTACAATTAATTGGGTCTGTCATATTTAAATCTATTATCATAGTTACAAATTTTGTAGATTGTAACATTGCTTTTTTACTGATTTTCTAGCATATATTTTAGATCTCTCTCTAATCATCTGCCTATCTCTATATCTATCTGTCTATCTATCTATCTATCTATCTATCTATCTATCTATCTATCTATCTATCTATCTATCTATC